GTTCGACGCCAACCTGGACTACATTGTGAGACCTGGTCTCATAAAAAGAAAAGAAAAAGAGGGGCCAGGAATTTGGCTCAGTGGTTCTGCTGCCTGCCTATACAAGTACCCAAGTTTGATCCCTGGTACCAAAAAAAAAAAAAAAAAAAAAGAAAAGAAAAGAAAAAGAAAGCACGTGTTCCTTGCTGTCAGATTGTTTAAAGTGGGAAGGGGAGACACAGATTCTGGGTCTCAGGCTCTCATGGAGCAGTGTGTGGGCAGTGCTGCCCCACTTTGTTCTTCAGGCTGTCCATCATGGCATGCTGTCTCCTGGGGCCTGCTGGTCCTAGCCTGCCTTGGGGTGCGTGTGTGTGGGATTTGGCTCCAGGACTGAGTTCCTCTCCCTGGGACTTGGCATTCCCATTTGAATTTTACAGGCCGAGCCTGGTGAGGCTGAGTGTGCAGCGTGACCACCAGGGAGCAACCTGGCTGCCTCAGCAGATGTAGAGCATTTGTCCGTCTGAGCTCAGGGATGCGGCAGATCTTTCTGAAATATTGGGGGACTCACACTGCCATCATCAGATTTGCCTGGATGTCACTTGACACACACTGATAGGAATGTGGCTTTGATTGTCTTTTCAGAGGCTGCTGGCAAAGCTGCAGTGCTGGGAGATGCTGGACCAGACCACAGGTTTGAATCTCAGGTAGGTGCAGCTGTCCTCTCCCGGGCTGCTGGTGTCCACACCAGTCCACTGGTGAGCAGGTGAGTGGCCCTTCCTCCTTGCTTAGTGTCCTCTATGTCATGCTTGTTTGTGGCTGGCAGTGTGTGTGTGTGTTCTTGTCTCACGCTGCCCAGGTTTAATGAGGTGCTGGAGCCGTGGGAGGGAAATGGAACAACTGTATGGCTCTTTATGCTGAAGTCTTATACCACCTCTTCTGAAAAACCAGACTACTTACAGCAGCAAGGGGGCGGCTGTCTGGTTGCCCTGCATTGTCAGGCTTGTTAGAGGACTCTGTATACTGAGGAAGTAATTGCTTTTAGGGAAGAATCATTCCTCTGAGGTGATTGTAATCACTGGGGATGAACTCAGATTTAGAATTTAAAAAAAAAATCATAGCAGAAGATTCTTGTCCTACTTGGGCCTCCATAACATTTTCTTGCAGGTAGTCTGTCAAGCTAGCGGGTGGGTACTGAGTGAGCCACAGGTCAGCTGCCACCTCTGGCTGCAAGGCATTGCATTCTGACAAAGAACAGGGTGTTCCCATTACTGATTCCGTCCGTCCACTACTTGTCTCAGCAGTGGCTCATTTGTGGCCTGCCCATTAGCTACTATGACCTGTTGTGGTTGTTGCAGACTATTACCCGCTTTTGGTTGCTCGGTCTGCTCCCAGTCTCATAGACAGTAAAGCCTGGTCTTCCAGATGAGCCATCAGAGCCTGGGCACAGACCTGTGGGATTTAGGGAGCCTTTTGTTTTATTTGCTCATGGGCTATCTAGACTTTCAGCTTCTTGGTTCTCTTTCTCGATGCTCTGGGAAATGAGGCCAGGACTGAGACTTTCTTAATGAGCTGAGCTGTCACATCCTGTCATTACATTGTCCACTGCAGCTCAGGAACCTGCCAGCTTCTGAGCGGCAGTCTCAGCTTTAATTCTTTGTCGCTTGACAGTGCCTCTGAGTTTTCTCTCTGCCTTGCTTGTTGTGGAGTCCAGAGTAGGCTGCTGTTCTCTCTGAAGTCCATGGGCTGCCTAGCAGGACCTGCTATTGTGGCTTCCTCCTCTTCTCTGGGCTCAGCAGCTGCCCGAGGGTCCCACCAGCTCCCAGGGCTACTCTGGTCAGCTGGGAAGCCTCTGTGACTTCTTTCTTGTGAGGGAGGTTAGAGGCCCCTCATGCCCAGTGGTTCACGCCAGTGCCATGGCCTGGTTTCTGCAGAATGACACTCAGGGTCAGCCAGGTAGGTGGAGCTGGCGCAGCCACCTGCTGCTCTGGCCTGAGTGGCACAGGCTTTCATGACCTTGTAGAAATGTCCAGCTTCTCCCTTCTTCCTTTTTTTGGGGGTACTGAGTATTGAACTCAGGACCTTGCACTTCCGAGGCAGGCATCAGTACCACTGAGCCCAGGGATTTATCCCCGGCCCCAGCTTCTCCCTTTGAGCCCATGTCTGCATCTGAGGGTTCTGTCATGAGTGTGGCTGGCATGAGGGCAAGTGTGCCATGTCCTGTGTCCTCTCTTTCCCAGGCCAGGCTGTGATAGGGTGGGTGATTCCTGTGCCCGTTGCCAGCTTCAGGCTGGGAAAGAGGGAGGTTTGGAGGGAGGCCTGGGTGCTCATGGTGCTCTGTGATGTCTCTGGGAGAGTGGATCTAAGCCTGCATCCACCCTGAGTGGCAAAACTCTCCCCATGCAGCTGTACTCCCTCAGCTCATCTTTCTCATGGCTTCTCATGCTTGTGAAGATTTAGCAAGATCCCATCCTTACGAAGTGCTTCGTGGTGCCCCTGTCCTTTCAGAAGGCAGAGGGTGCCATCTTCCTGTGGGTGGCCCACTTGGTTCCTCAGCTTTTTCTACCTGGTAGCTTCTGTGTGGGGCAGACTTTACTTCTCAGGCTTCCTCTTCCTGGGCCTTGGGTTGCTGTGGGTGCCTTATGCCATAATGCTGCTGCTCCTGTGCATGCCCAGGTGGGTGTCTGAGTATTTACTGTCTTGTGGTCACTTGTCACATAACAGTCCATTGGATGCGCACATGTGGTATTAAACATGGTTCCTCATCAGAATCACCTGGAGTTTGATGGCTATGCCCTGTGGTAAAACATGTGCTTAGCATGTGTAAGGCTCTGGGTTTGATTGTCAACAAGGCAAAAAAAAAAAAAAAATTCCCCACTTCAAGCTGGTCATGATGGGGCAAACTTGTAATTCCAGCAGCTCAGGAGGCTGTGGCAGGAGGATTGCTTGAGCCTAGGAGTTTGAGAACAGTTTGGACAACATAGTGAGCAACTGTCTCAGAAAAAAAATGTCACCTGCAGTTGGAAGAAAATGATTTCTGTGCTGATGTCTCTGAGGGCTGGACTTATGAGTTGTGGTGACCTTGAAAACTGCCAGTGCTGAGGATTTTGGCTTGCTATCTTTTCCTTGCTGTTCTATGGGGGAGGTTTTGGGCAGTGACTAGAGCTGAGCAGGAGGAGTGACTCAGTGAAGCCCATGCTTGGTGAGATGGAATGTGGCACTAGGACTGAGCGGAGGTGAGGTTGGGGTCTAGTGCTGTAGGCTGGCCTCCCTGCAGAAGGAACCACATGTGTGCACATTCATCGTTCACGCGCGGATACCTGTGACTGTGCTGCCAGGTCAGACACCACTCCATGACAGCAATCAGGGACCTGAGACAGGTGGTTGAGCTCCCTGGGGTGTTCTGGCCTCCACTGGCCTTTAGGCTGGGGACTTGCTGTCTTCTGGGGCATCAGACTTGGGCTTTGTAGGTTCCCAGGAAGAGCCACCACTAGGTGGCACCACCTGCTTCGTGATTGGGTTCTTCAGGGAGCCTGCCCTTGTCTCACCACCCTCCAGTGAGACACCTCCTCACTTCCTCACCAACACCAGAGTTCTGGCTGACCAGGGTGGGCTGGGTTTGTGGCCACAGATTCTGTTTGCCTTTGGTTGCAGACGGCCTCTTTTTCATGCCCTCTCCCTGTCCTGTCCTTGGCCAGCCTCTCTGGGGATGCCCTTAGGTCTGTGTTCTTCTGGTGTTTATAGCACCTGGGCTCTCCTCTGAGAACAGGGCCTGGCTTCCCAGACATTCTCAGGTGTTCTGGGTCCTCTGCCCTGGATTGGTAACAGTACTCTGGGCTACCACCAAGTTCCCTACTAGTGACAGTGGCTACTTCTCACATTGGGATTTCTGTATTTAACAGACCAGAGACATTAAGAGAGATGAATGGGCAAGTTGGCTGGTGTGGGACAGCCAGGGTAACCACGAGTAAGACTTTGGGCCAAGCTTCCTTGATTGTCAGGCTGCGGAGTCTGGGCACATGGGGCCACATAGGCAGGGGAAGATAGGTCTGTCCAATCTGATGTGACCAGCACATGGGATCCCGTGGGCCAGCGGGCAGATAGGTCTTTCCATTCTCATGTGATCAGCACTCCTGTTGGCTGGGGGTGGACAGATTTATCCACCGTAATGATACCAGTACAGAGCGTAATGAGGGCTAGAAAGCAGATGTGGCTTCGTGACCTGGAATGTGATAGAGAGGGAGGAATGGTAGCTGTATGTGTGGTACTGTGGTGAAGGGTGTGTGGCCTCCCAGTTCTCCAAGGCCTTGAGTGTTGACTGAGGGATTTGGTGGAGTTAGTGGGGGCCAACGTGTGGAACCCAGTCTTTCAGGAGCATGATCTCTGGGCATTGAGTTAAAAAGTGTGGGAAGTGGGTGACTAGGGACAGACAGCAGCTTGAGGGACTGGATGGTGGGGGACAGGCAAGGTGGGGTGCGGGTGAAGAAGGAGCCAGAGTGGAATTCATTGCAGAAAGACAGGGTGGTGCTCTTTAGAAAACCAGCAATTTTGGTGGAATAAAGGTGGGGATGTACAATTCAGTAGACCAATAGAAGAAGCCTTTGTGAAACACTTGGTACTCAAGATTGAAAATTCTCAGCAAACTAGGAAAAGAAAAGAAGGAAATTCCACAGACAAGTAGAGTGACTATAATATGAATGGGAAAGAAAGAGGCCATGTCTTCTTACTATGCCAGTTCACACTGCAAGTGGAGGGACTGACTTCTTCCCTGACCCTGGGCACCAGGGAGCCTGAGTGTCCTTACCCTCTGCTCATGCAGTAGGTGGTGCGGTTGATTTCTACCCTGATCCTTGGGACCATGTGAGGCCATGTGTCCTCACCACTCCCTTTACACAGGTCACAGGATGCCGTCTGTCCAGCCCTGGAGACCTGGCAAGGCTGTGTCCTCTCCATCCTCCTCATATTATACTGAACATCCCTACTCATACAAGCACATAAGAGAAGATTGGAGCTCATCAGATAGAAAGAATAAAACTCTCTCTACTAGGAAGCAGTGTAATTCTGCAGACACTCCCGGAGTGTCAATAAACATCTATCTGGACTAATGAGCGAGGGTAACAGGGTCATAGGATATAGGAACAATATCCAAAAATGATTATATTTCTGTGTACTAGCAATAAACCATTGGAAATACATAGTGTTTACAGTGGCATCAGAAACACAAAGTTCTTAGGGATAAATTTAACAAAATATGTTTTAAGATCTGTTCTCTGAAACCCATAAGATGCAGCTGACAGTAATTAAAGATGACCTAATAATATAGGAAAACGGAGAGAAACTGTAAGAGGAAAAAATAAACTCTCTCCCCTCTGCTTTCCACTACCCACTCGGCACAACACTCTGACACCAGATGTGGGTTTTTTTCCACACAGCAAGCAGTTCTCTCACAGATGCCAGCTGAGTGTCCTACAATTCAATTCAGACACGGTCTACTTGGAGTTAGAGTCAGCTCCCATAGAATGAGTGCTTGGACCCAAAGGTGGACCTCACTTCAGATGCTGGTCCCAAGTCCTTACCTACACTTCCGACCAACTGGCTCTGGAGTGGGCTCCCAGGACCCTGCTCTTGGGTTATATTAGTTTGTAGCGTGCTCACAGAACTCAGGAAAACACTTTATTATGTTCACCATTTATTGGAAAGGATATTA